CACTCCATGTTGGCTGCCACTGTCATTATGACGAGCACAGGAGGGAAAGGAGAAAAAGGTTTGGTTTACTGTGATTGTGGCGAGGTGGTTAACTGTATACATAAGGAATATTTTTCATTAGTTCTGGGGGGGAGGGGTGTGGATTGTAAATATATAAATCCCTCTTACAGGTTCCTTCATGTTAAGCTCCAGAGAGGAACAGAGGGGACGACAAATGTGGAACATGACAAAGAAGCAAAACAAGTGGGGGTGGCAAGACAGAAATGCCCCGTTCCCAGGAGGCAGCGGCAGGACCCCTGACTGGGCCTGGGGCCCTGAGAGCCAGTCTCAGCTCGGCTGCCAACTGACAGTGTGCTAGTGTGATTCGGGGCAATGTTCTCCCCTTCTCTGGGCCTCAGTTTCCACTTCCAACTCTGGTAGAGTCTGTATCTTAAACAGCTTAGGGGAGAAGGACGCCTCAGCTAAGGTCTGCCTCCTGGGGACATACCCACACAGGTCCAGAAGGAGCCCCGAGCCCAGGGCACCCTCCAGCCCAAATGACCCTCGAAATGGCAGGACTTGCTCCTGATTCCTGCCTTGGGAGCTGACTGGCAAGCGCTGCAGCTTTGATCTGCTGATGTCTGCCCTCCCCCATCAAACCTTGGAGAGTTCTCATGATGTGCTTCAGCCATCAGACCAGGGCATCTAAAGACAAGGGGATTTTCTCTTCTATCAGACTATGAGCTCCTGAGGACAGGAGCTGGCTCCCTCCTCTCAGACCAGGAGCTCCTCAGGGTGGGGGCTGTGTCTCCCCCGTCAGACAGAAGAATCCCTAAAGACAGACCTAGGTGCCCCTTTATATCTCTGCTTACTACCCCTAAAAGGATGGGTGCCCTGCTGGCAATTCCTAGACAAGGGCTGGTGTGCAGTGGTCCATCTGCAGGTATCAGGTCACTCAGAGTCATTCAGGATAGAAAAGGTTCCCTTTGTCCTAAGCTGCCCTGAGTTGTTTTCCAAGGAACTGACCCTTCTCAGCCTACACGAAGGGGAGAGTAGGCTGGGGGCCTTCAAGTCCCAGCCCTCAACAAGCCATCAGAGAGAAGTCTCATGGGCAGTAGCTGTTTTCCTCTAATTCCCTCAGAAGGACCTAGTGCACAAAGCTCGGACAACCATGTGCTGAGTGCCTGATCCTATGAGGGTGGGCTTTTCGGGTGGGTAAGGGCTAGGCTACAAGGGAACTGAGCCTCGCAGTTAGCCAAACCTCTAGGAAGGCTGTTACCTGTTTGACTCAGCCCTGCCCTTTGGTCCCCAACCTGTGGTCCTGGCCTCAGTTTTCACATCCGTGACACGGGTTGAATACGCTTTCCCCTCCACCAAGCTGGAGGGACTGGCCTCCTGAGATTGTTTTGCTGCCAACCAATCACCATGAACAAGAGCAAATGTGGGCATTTCTGAAGCAGGAGAGCAATGTGAGTGGTTAGAAGCTCGGATTCTAGAGACGAGGGTTGAACCTGGCTCTGCCTCTTAAGTAGATTAGAATATAGGAAACACTTAGAACAGGGTCTGTCACAGGGGCTCAGAAAGGTTCGCTGTCCTTGTCACCATCAGTATGAAACACACTGCGTGACTTGCTGTTTCAGGGTGTTTATTGTCTGTCTGCCGTTACACTGCCAGCTGCACATGAGCAGGGGTCTTCATCTTTTAGGGTCACTAGCTGATGCCTAGAACGGTGCCTGGCACAGGGCAGGTACTCCATAACTATGTGTTCTCTCAGAATCAGAGACCAGGCACAGAGCTGAGATGACTAAAATGGCTTTTTGGTGAAATTCTGCTAGGCAGTCTCTCTGTGGAGTCCCTGAGGCTCACAGCACCTGCTTCCCAGGCTGGGTCTGTGACAAAGATGGAATCAACCCCTTGGAGGGGGCACATCTTCCCCAGGTGGCAGCAGGCTGGCCAGTGTGACAAGCAGACGCTCAGCAGAGGCCCAAAGTCATCCCCCAACATAAACCCCTCCGGCTTTTGTGAGAACGCTTTTGTTTGCGACACTGGCAGGGACCTGTAATTCTGGGTGAGGGCATATGTGCCGGTCCCACAGCCCAGGTGTAAGCCCCATCCCAGACGGGGCCCATTCTCTCCCTCCGGCCCAGGTGAGCCACAGAGAAACCCCTCCTGATGGGGAGATGGACATGGAAGTGGCTTTCAGTGAACTCCCACCCGTCCCCAGACCACAGAGATGTGCTAATGATGTCCAGTGGGCTGCTCAGACAGAGGGAGCGTGCCAGGTGTTGGAGCTCAGAGATGCCTGGAACTTTTGTACAAGACCCACACGCCCCCCTCACAGCCCCCTTCCTTCAGGAAGTGTTCGCAGCTTAACCCCCAAGGGTCACGCGCACAGAAGCACACACAGCCTGCCCTCGTGTCCACCCTGCGCACAGCCCCCTCTCCCGAGTCCAGCAGCTGTTCACCTTCTGGTCCCCTCTGCCCCTGTCAGACCCTCCATCTGTCTTCACACCTTTGGTGGGAACCTGTGGGCAAGTCTCCGAAGTTTGCCCAATCCATCAAGGCCTCCCAGCCCCTCCTCCCTGAGGAATGGGGAGGCCGCTGTGAGGGTCTCTGGGAGGCGGGGGGAGGGTCCAGCTCGGGTGAGGAGACGTTGGGCTGCTCACATCAGTAGTCAGTTTCTCCTCTTCTTTTCCTCCTTCCCTGAGGTTCATTTCTGGGCCCAAACAGGGCAGGGAGCAGCCTCACTCTTTAATGCCCTAGCTGAACCGTGCTCCAGAAGCCGGGGCCCCTGATTTGCTAGTTTCTCCTCTGCCCTGTGACAAAAGTGCTGCTTTGGGGATAGGCCTCACCCACATCTGGATGGGTGGGCTGGGAAGAGCAGTGGTCAGGGAGCCCGGTGCCATGGGCTCAGCCTGGCCAGGGTGTCCTGGGCCCTCCATCTGTAAAGTAAGGTGGCTGGCCCACATAACTCAGAGTCCCTCTTCAGATTTCCAAGTAAGCTCCTCCAGCTGGTTTGGTACCCGAAGGCCAAGCCTGGACCACATTCTCAGGTCTCTGAGCCCATCTTCATCCAGCTGGCCCTGGGATCCTGTTGTGTCTATCTCCTGGCTCTGGAAGATTAGCTCGGCCAGTTAGTCCTCAGCACTAATGAGAAAGAGGTCATGACCTTGAACCCCAAAGAGGCTCCATTGGGTTCCAGTGGGAAGATATCCTGGTCTGCAGGCTGTATCACCCCCCACCATGTGGGCCCCAAGGGGACTTGGTGCATCACCATTAGGGATTCTGCATTTAGCCACCTAGGCACTCAACTCTATAGGGATATGGCTCGGGGCTTTATGCTCATCATCTTATTCGATCCTCCACAACCCTACGAGGTAGGTGTTAGTATCATCCCCATTTCTTGGAAGAGGAAACGGAGATGTAGAGAGGGGAAGGGAACTTACCCATGAGTAAATGATGGAACAGAAATGCAATTAGCCCTCAATTCTACACGTTAATATAGGCAAACAGGAATGAACCCAGCATGCAGAAACTTAACATTCTTGGAAATATTTTAGACCAGGAGGCGGCAGTTTTTTTCTGCAATGGCCCCATAGTAAATAAATATTTTAGGCTTTGTGGGCCATATGGTCTCTTTTGAAACTACTCATCTCTGCTGTTTAGCACAAAAGCAGCCATAAATATATAAATGAATGAGCATGGCTGTGTGCCAAATAAAACTTTATTTACAAAAACAGGTCGCTGGAGGGACATGGCCCTGGGGATGTAGCTGACCTCCTCTTTGGCCCCCTTCTTCGGTTTCAGGCAACAGGTTTCTATCCTAATTATATCATCTTGGCAAGAGTGGGGAGAAACGAAGTTTACTTGGCCCCTGTTTTGTGCCAGGCTCTGTGCTAAGTGCTTTGACCTGTTAGCATGTGAATGTAGAGAACACCTTTCTTAGGAGGCTAGTGACACTCTTCGTTTAATCACTTTCGTGTTTAATGGGGGATAAACAGGCTCAGGGGTGCTACCTTGCCTAACATCTACCTGAGCAGCGGAGCTGGGGTTTTGACCCCCTCCAAGGCGCCACCTGTCTACCACACTACAGCTGTTCAGATACGCTTATATCACATGCATTCTCAGCACAGACAAGAGAAAGGTGTCTCAGAGGGTGGGAGGCAGGGGAAGACCAATCTTGGATTTAATTCCTTCCCCTGTGGCTATCTGAGAGCCTGCTGTAGCTCCAGAAAATGAAATCACCAGTTCCTCAAATTCACTAGCAAGTCCAGCACCACTGAACCCTGTTCTCCAAACCCACCGACAACCACCAGCAGCCTCAGCACTGTCTTTCTGACTTCATCTAAAGAAGGCCCCAGGACTTCTAACAGCACAAAGAGTGCTTAACCAGGCGAAGAGTGATTAACCAGCAACCAATCACACACGAGGGAACAGAGTTCCAAGACCCAGTGGAAGTGGAGTTCCCAGTCGAGAACTCCAGTCACTCATTGGCCACTCCTGGTGAATGGCGGCAGATGGAGCACAGGATGGAATCCAGGAAGGACTCCCGGTTCTAGAACAAAGTCCCAACCACAGTCAGTCTCTCCCAGGAAACGGTGCAAGCCTTCCCCCAATGCGCTGTCTGAAAAATGCCTGCCTTTATGGGCTGGACAGCCATGAGGTGGATGGGAGGCCAGTTTCGCAAGCTCTGGGTGACTGTTGGGTCGGGAGCGAGTCTATAACACGGTATCTGTTTATGTGTGGCAAGAAGTACAGAAGCCTGTTATGGAACCCGTGGTGTGCATCCACCCGCTGGGTCACGAGGTCTACAGCTTGAGAAGAGAAACCCAGGGTGAAGAACCACAGAATATTGACAAGTGAAGGTATTTAACCTCTCTCATGGAACCCAACAGCCAGAGGTTTCACGGAGACCCGTAGCTTCTTCCCCAAGAGAGAGCCAACCCATGTCACCTGCCCTTTTGGCTGGGCTGGTGGGCCTCTGGCGATGGGACCCTGGGCAGGGGGGTGAGGCCACCTACCTGAGGAGACAGGCCGTTGCTGACGGGGTTCATGTGGTTGGAGGGCGCCGCTGGGTTCATGAAGCTGTCTGAATAGCTGGAGAAGCTGTGGCGGGCTCCATAGGCAGAGCTGGTGTCTGCGGCTGCAGCGGCTGCAGCAAGTCCCCCCTGGTGCATGGTGGATGGCGGGAGGGGCTGGGGCCGGTGCACGGTGCTGCCCCCATCTGTGGAGAGACACAGGAGATGGCCTGAGCAAGTGGCCTCACCTTGGAGGGTGGGCCTGCCGGGGCAGGGAAAGAACCTCCTGTTTGAAAGGCAGCCATGAACCTCCTTTTCTCAGTCCCCATCCAGTGGAGGGAAGGGACCCCCTTCTCTCCCTACTTGAGATGGGACAATCTGGCTTCTGGGCAGGGTACTAGGGACCGGCCAAGTCTTGACTGACAGCCAACTGACATGCCAGATGACTGCTAGGCAACTGCAAGCTAGCCCTGTTGGTCAGTGTTTGGCACACAGTAGGTGCTCAATAAATGTTATCTGGACAGAAACTCAGACACTGTTGGGGACTCTGTTACAATCTACCCAGGCCTGTCCTCATAGCATTTTGTGAGCACTGGCTACTTGCCAGGTGCTTTTACAAATACCATCTAAGGGTATGAAGCAAGAATATGGTTTCTATCTTATAGACGACAAAACTGAGGCTGGTGGGGTGGGGGCACTTGTGCAAGGTGACAAGGCTCGTGAGTGGTAGGACCCGGGTTTGAACTATTGTATCTGTTCCTAGCTGCTTGGCTGCTGCTCCTGTCAAGACCCCTCCATGCAGCCTTCCAGCCGATGGGCATGTCATCCTTGGCAATGGTTCAATTTCTCATCAAGCATCCCAGGGAGGGTCCCCTGCCTCTCTCCTCAGTCTCCAGAGCACCAAGGCTGGAGCCAGCCCTTTAAAAGGGGGCACCGGGGCTTCATGAGACAGATGTCAAGTAGCAGGGTTCCTAATGTGTGCTGTGTGGGAAGAGAGGAGGGAGAGGGCAGAACTGGGAACAGGATCCAGGGAGGCCAGGAGGAACCCTTCTCCCCCTCCAGGGCTCACCATCTCCTCTGCACTTTAATAAGAGCCCAGGAGGTTCACGTGACTTTACGATTTGAGAAGCTCTATTCTAAACGTGGGCATGGAGGCGGCCCTGTTGATTCTCACCTGGATGCTCTGTGGCCTGTTGGCAGAGCCAAGAAGTTCAAAGGCAGGACCTCACCTTTTTGGGTCTTAATAGTCTCTGTCCACATGAAAGTATACAAATGGTCATTAATACACAACTCTTACTCCTTCTTTGTTAAAGAAGGAAGGGTTGGATGGGGCAAAGGGAAAGGGACAAAGCAGCGACACCAGGAAGGGGCTCAGGCGCTCACCTTGGGAGATGGTGGTGGTGGGGTAGGTGGAGTCCGGCAGCTGGTAAGGGGGCAGCGTAGGCATGCCAGTGGGCGGGAAGCCCCCTGGCAGAAGGTGGTTGAACGCTGCCAGCTGGTTGGCTCCTGCTTGCTTGCGCCAACGGGCGCGGCGGTTACTGAACCAGACCTGGGGGATTGAGAACGGAGAATGGTGAGCCCTCAACCTGGCTCCTGGTGGAGAGCTGAGACAGCTAGAACCGGTCCCCCAGCTGTCCCCCTCCATGGCACCTTCCCCGACAGGAGGACATCCCCACCTTCATGCAACTCAGCTCAGGACAGTCTGCCGAGCACTTTCATAGGAATGGTTCCATTCTGTCCTCACCATCGCCCAGTGTTATTATCCTTATCCCCATTTTACAGATGAACAAACTGAGACCCAGGGAGGGTGGCTGACTTGTTCACATGACAGGCTGTTTGGCTCTCGGTTCAGCGCTCTTTCTACTGCAGCTGCTCCTGCCCCAAGGGCTGTCAATAGGTGACTGTCCTTGTTCCAACACACACGCACTCCCCACCTCATCCAGGAAGCCCACAAGGAGGAAACCACACATCCAGAACCCACTTGAATGAGACCCACCTGCCAGACTCAGGTATGAAAGCTAGTGCTTTGTCTGGAGCCTGAGGCCCCACTTTGCTTCTCCAGCATAGGCCCCTTTGATTAGGAAAGCTCACCCCCCACAGACAGGGATTTGTTTAGTATCAGTAATTATCGGGACGACTAGCCTAACATCTTTGAGTCTCCCTTCCCCCTAAGCCCTGTGCTGGTGCTTCACACGTCTGTCCATACATAGAGCCTCCTATTCCCACTTTACAGAAGGGACAACCGAGGCTCACAGAAGTCAAGTAACTTGCCCAAGGCCACACAGCTAGTCTGTACTAGCTCTAAGGTTCAAACTTAAATCAGTCTGACTTTCTAGAGCCCACTTATCTGGATTTGCAGCAAGTTCTGGGATGGGCCACGGAAAGAGGAGAATGACTATGCAAAACAGGGGCTGCTCTGAGGGGGCTCTTTTCCACTTTTGGGCTTTGCATATGCTGTTCCCTCTAAGAGGAACACTATTCCTTGCAGCTGGCTACTCGGCCTGCAGACTCAGCTGAAATGCCTCCTCCTGTTCTGATTCCCTAATCGCTGCCTGGAGGTAGGTTCAGGCAGGTCCCCGCCTTCTCTCAGGAGGCCTATAGTGTGTGTACGTGTACTTCCTCACAGGAGCAGTCATTCTATTTACTTGTTTCTTGGGGATGCTTCTCTTTGTCCTCCCCTCAGGCTACAGGTCCCCTGGGCAGAGGCCCTGCATTCCTTGCTCACTGCTCCCTGCTCCATAGGTGCTCACCCAGTGTTCACTGAGTGAATGAACGAACAAGGGAGGCAGAGATGGCTCTGGTGTGTCTTCGCTGGAGCAGGGGCCACAAGGCTCAGCTGGGAGCCCCTCCTGGTGGGGTGAAGACCCCGCCCTTCCCTGGCATGGGAACTATAGGACCGCCCTTCCCTTCCCTTAAGACCCCCCCACACCTCTAGATCTTATCCGCTGACATGCGGGAGGGAAGTCTCAGCTGGGCGGAGGGTGCTTAATGTGTCCCAGGTATCACTTGTCTTTTCTGCCAGGGGAGAAATGGTGTTCAGCTTTCCAAGCTGGATGCACAGAACAGCCGACTTGGACGCCTTTAAGATTCACAGGAAAAGGCAACCAAATCAGGAGAGGAAACTGGCGCCGAAGTAAAATTCAGGCCCTGACTTCTTCCCACCTCCCCAGGGCACAGAGGGCTTCGCCCAGGGCGTGCGTCCTGGGGTGGGGTGGATGCCGGCCAGTCGGGCTGAGGCTGCCTCTAAACTGGGAGGTAGGGGCAGTATCTCCTGCTCCCTGCTCCGGGAGGGCGTGGAGAACAACTCTGTTTTAATTCAGCGTTTCTCAAAGGGTGGGACTCCTGTTGCCCACGCTAGGGAGATGTCCCAGATGGCGAGTGACACAGACATTAAATAACCCTGAGCCGCCTCATGCCTCCTCCCGTCCTCCTTCCTGCCTTCCTAACACTTGCTAATCCCCCTTTTTAACACCCAGAGAAGAGCCTTTGCAGTTGACCTTTTCCTGCAGGACTTTTATTATGTTCTTATTTTCCTTGTGTGTGTGGGTTTCCAACTGCCTTCCTTTTATGAGACTGAGATGCACTTTTATTTTAAAATACATTGATTTTTTTTAAAAAAAGGTAAATAACAACATAGATAATGTGCAAATGTGGCAAAAATCTTCCAGATGGTCAGAGAATCACTTAAGTGAGGGACACGCTGGTTTAATTTGTTACATGCCGCTGTTCCTTAGGGGTGAGTCATCTATTCCTCAAATGAAGGGTACTAAATAAAGTGGGAGGTGTTCTCCCCCCTCCCTTTCCTTTCTTTCCTTCCCCTTCTCACCTTCCTTCCTTCCTTCCTTCTCATCTCTTTTCTTTACTGGGACTCTGTGCTGTGCCAAGCAAGACAGTAAGGAGAGAGAGATGAACTGGACACAGCCTCAGCCCTCACACTGCTCTCTATCTGGGCACCCAACAATCACGTCAAAGAACAGTTGCTTTCCAACGCAGTGACAGGGTAACATGCAAAGTGCTCGAAGGAGGTCTGAGGAGTGGTTTCCAACTTCACCTCTCAGAATCCAGGAAGACTTCCTGCAGGGGAGGGCATGTCTTTTGCATGCAAGCCTCTCACCTCTTCCACCTTCATTGTCCTGTTTCCCCAGGGCTGCCACCCCAGCAGGCAGCTCTCTCCTCACAAAGTGTAACATGATGGTTAAGAGCAGTGACTCTGGGGGCTGGCTGCCAGGGTTTGAATCCTGCCTCTGACTCCTAGCAAAGGTGGGCAAATTCCGTTGTCCCTCTGGGTCTCAGCCTCTTTGTAAAATGTGGCTAATAATAGCACTCACCTCTCAAGGGGTTCCGGACCTCAAATGAGTTAACATAGGCAAAGTGCTTAGATCAGCATCTAACAACTAAGATTCCACAGAAACCCTCCGATGGCTCAGCTGGTGCAAGCTGCCTGTCTAGAGATGGGGAAATGGGGGCTCTAGGAGGGATAGTGGCAGCCTGGCACCCCACACAGAATCTCTGATCAGGGTTTAGTTCTTTGAAAGCAGAGGCTGAGTTTTATTATTTATTTTTGATCCTCCCTTCCACACCTAGCGATGGGAACAGACACCATAGGAAGCATCCGTGTACTGAGTTGACTGTCTCATCTGGTCCTTCTTTCAACGCAACACAGAGGAAAAGAACATAACCAATAGACTTGGGCTTAAGTCCCAGCACAGTTGCTTATGACACGTGTCTTTAGGAAGTTACTTCTCTTAGCTAACTCTCAGCTTTCTCACCTGCAAAATGGAGAAACTCACTGTACCTACCTCCTGGGATTATGGTGAGGGTAATCAAGATAATGTATGTGCAGTGTTGAGCATCATGCCTGGCCTATAAGAAGTGAACTATAGGACCGGCCGAGTGGCGCATTGGTTAAGAGCTGGCTTGGGATGCCAGAGGGCCCCGGTTCGGATCCCACATATGAGGGCCAGTGGCACTGCCTTCTACAGCTAAGATGCTGAACAACAGCTCAACCTGGAGCTGGACTGCTGTGAGTCGCCAGCGACGGCATAGGCTGCAGCCCCTGCAGCAGTGGGTTGCCATGGGCTACCGTGTGTAGCCAGCAGCCAGCGTGAGCGGCCAGCAGCCACTGTGAGCGGCCGTCCAGAAGCCGGCGACTGATCTGCCTCACCCGGGAAGAGCGCAATGATGGTGCCAACTTGGGCCAGTGAAGCGACGTCCTCCACAACTAGACTGAAGAACAAAAGGACAGCAACTTGTCTGTTCCCCTTCCCCCAATTCCCCAGCACTGTTCCCATCCCCCAATTCCCCAATAAAAAATCGTCAAAAAAACCCCAAAAAACAAGTGCATTATACACGTTTTCTAGTGTTATGAACAGATTTGGTTTAAGTTGCTAATTAGCGAGTCCCTCTAGTGCCTCCAAAATGCGATTCCGTTCAAAGCGGCATCTGTTCCTAGAACAGGCTCAGGGATCTTGGCATTGGGGCACAATGGATTTGTTTACCTCCAAGGAAGAGGTATGCAAGGTTGGGGTCAGCCTCCAGCTGTTTAGAAATGAAGATTCCTCCAGAGAAAGTTATCGGCCCGCCAGGCTTGTGTCCTCCTACCTGACACCCCTTCTGCCGCCCTTCACGATGGCTTGGGCTTTCCATAGGCTGAGACAACGGTGTCACTGCCAGACATCAGGGGTGCTACAGAACACCCTGCAGGCTTCAGAAACAGGGCTGTAACACACTTGAGTTACTAGAACCCCACCTGACATACGATTACCTGCTGACTTGTGTATTCGAACATCAGCTCCGTGACAGCAGAGGTTTCTGTCTGCTGAATCCCAAGTGCCTAGAACAGTGTCTGGCACACAGTTGGTGCTCAATAAATGGGAATGAACCTGGAGTTTCAAGGTGGCCAGCACTGGAACCACCAAGAACCGGTAGAGTTTTAATAATAACAACCTCCCTCCCCCACTTACGGCACTTCTGCATGCCAGCCGCTTCCTAACTTTGTGTACGTGTTTCCATGTCATCATTTAATCTTCAGAACGAGGCAGACCCTACCGTCATCTCCATTTTACAGATGAAGAAACTGAGGGCGGAGGGGTAAGTGATGGCTCTGGAATTCATCCCTAGGCCTCTGGCTCTGAGGCTGCTCTGAACCCCTCCACTAGCTCGTCCATCTCCCAGGGCCACCAAGATGAGATGGTGTAGGATTGCCAAATCCCTTAACCAGAAACTCTTAGAATCAGAGGTCAAGACCTCAAAAGTCTATAGAGCCATAAAAGCTAAGCAGTGCTCAGGGGGTTTCAAGGTCCCTGACATACTGTCCGTATGTAGCAGGCACCCTCTCACCAGGGTCTCTGATCAACTGGACATTGGACTTTTCTTTGAATGCTTCTTGTAACAGAGACCTCACAAAGCAGCCCTGATTGTCAATAGGTAGGGATTCCAAAACTTTAAGGGGCCTTAATAACCATTTAGTTTGATCCCTTTATTTATAGATGGGAAATGAAGTCTCAGGACAGGAATTTGAGCTGTTGAAGGTGATACAGCTGCTAAGAGGCAGGGACCAATGAGAACCCAGACCTGTGGCTCCTGGTCCTGTGCGCTTACCCCACAGACCTTTATATGGGACTTAGGACATTTCCCTGTTGGCCCTGGTTCCACCCTCTGGGGCCCCTCAGAGCAGCCATATCCTCCAAGTCTCCTGTTCTCCAGGCTCAAGTTCTATCATTCCTGTCTTGATCTTTTTGGTTAGCCCTTGTTCGTTCTTTTAAAAATCAACATTTATTGGTCGCTCCTCTGCAGAGAAAGCTCTTGGGCTAAGGAGGGAAGACCCAGCCCTGCTCTGGGGAGCCCATAGTCTGAGTGGGGAGACCCAGCCCTGCCCCGGGGGAGCCCAGACTCTGACCGAGGAGTCAGCATGTGGAGGATGTCTGCCTTGGCCGCCTGCGCTGTGGGTTTGCCTGGGCTCTGGTCGGTCCCCCTATTCCCAGCCCCGCTCCCTCCTTGGACCTTGAGTGACACCTGTTTTGGGGTCCCCTGGGCCAATAAATGCACTGCCCTGACAGCCAGGAAATTTTACAAGGAGTGGTTCGGCTTCGAGGTGGTGGGAAGCAGCCTGGCCCCCAGACGTGGGAACCAGAAAGCGCCCAGGAATGTGCCCAGGAGAACAGCTGCAGGAGGATCAGAGCAGAGGGAGGCCCAGGCTGGGGGCAGGCTCAGATATCACCCCGGGGGAGAACAACTCTGTTTTAATTCAGCGTTTCTCA